ACCAGCCCCCAACTCTGCCTCCTGCAGCTGTTTTTTGCTTCAAATACCCCCCTGGAGCACCTCATCATTAGCTCCCTGGTTACTAACGGAATAGCAGCAGCGAAGGCAGTCTGTTAGAGAGAGAGTAGACTCCCCCACAAGCTAGCAACATCAGTCAGAGGGAAAACAATGATCTAACTGGAAATCTGCCCCATGACATCTTCCTAGGCTGGGATGCAGCGTAGATAGAACAGTGCATTCTACGTATGAGGCTCTGGGTTTGATCTCCAGCACTTCCAAAGACCTCTTAGAGAATGCTTTGTATTAGTAGACATGTATTGGTTTATTATCATTAAACGTCTTATTATCTGTTATTTCAAAATTACAGCAATTCAGCTATACTCCACGATAGGATTTAGACTTCCTAACAAATTTAGAGGGCTGGAGAAATAGTACAGTGGATAGGGTGCTGGCCTTGCACATATCCAACCCAGATTCGATCCCCGGCACCATATATGACCCTACCAGGAGTGATCCCTTGAGCACAGAGCCAGGAGTAAGCCCTGAGAGCACCACTGGGTGTTAACACCACAAAAAAATTTAGTATAAAACATTGTCATTCCCACCTATGAGATGACAAAACTGAGACTCAGAAATCAGGTAACTTCCATGAGGCCATGTGGCCAAATAGAGGCAAAATCTAGGGCCAGGAGATAACTCAAAGGCATGCCTAAGGCTCTGAGTTCTATCCCTGGCACCACTAATATGTCCTCCCGAGCCCTGCCAGGGATGGCCCCGTGGCCCCCAGCACTGCCTGCCATCAGATTGGGCCATCCAGCATCAGGGCTGTCCGGCTGGTCTGAGTATCACCAATCCATGGCCATGGAAAGCCCTTGCCAAAAAAGGGCAAACTCAGATCAGAACCTAGGTTAAGAGCTTATTTTTAGGCGGGAGGCCTTCCCACTGTGTTCTGGAGTCCAGGGGCCATTTCAGAGTGGGCCTGTCGGTGATTCGGGCTGGGGGTGCTTGGGAGGTCACGAGGCACTGGGGCTCAGACTCAGAGCCTGGGGCATGGTGCATATGCTCATCACCCCACTGAGCTACATTTACGTCCAGGGTGTCTTTACTAACCTGGAGTTGCTTGTGTCTGCAGGATCTTCAGCACAGACATTTTCATATGGCATGCTGCCTCTGGCAGTGTTTTTGAAGCAATTTTGTAAAACTTTAACAGAATATAATTTGGTCATGTCTATTTAAAACTAGGGCTCAGCACTAAAGAGCTAGCACAGAGGAAAAGGTGCTTGCCGTGCATGCGGCCAACACTGACTGGATCAATTCGTGCCTCTGCCGATCGTCCATCAGCACCACCAGGAGTGATCCCTGAGCACAGAGCCAGGAATCAACCCTGATCACTGCTGAGTGTGGCCCCAAAACAAAAATACATGTATTATGCATCAGGGTAGCTAACTGATAAGAGTGTATGTCTTATATGAGGCCCAGGGTTTGCCCCCTAGAGTAAAAATTAATTACTACATAGTTCCAGAAAGATTTTTTTTTCCAGTTCCCAGCTCCAGTTCCTATGTTCCCAATTCATGTGAACGGCTCCCGTCCATCCACACAGGTACCCAGGCTCTGTCTAGTTTAACTCACCGCCCCACTCCCCCCACCTCTCACGCACTCCCACGTGCTCCTCCAGTGCCTGTCCTCCGTTGCGGTGAACTGATTTCCAAATGGGATCGTTTGATTCTCTGGCTCACAGCCGATCCGTGACTCTGCAACATAAAACGCCCATTGCGAGCCCCTTGGGCACCCTCCCTTCCCCAGGGCTCCTGCTTCCTTTCTCCCCGCATTACTGCTGCTCCGTGAGGTTTGGGTGGGATCACAAATGAGAACACAAACTACTCGTCAATTATGAAACTTCCCAATTAGACCATCCAGCTCAGCCTTCTTATGGAGGAAAACACTGGAAATAGTTGCTAACGATCCCAACGCCTGCCGGAAGACAATAATGATGCTTCTTGCTGCGACCAGAGTCTGAAAACACATTTTCAAATTTAATCATTGGGCTCTCATCAACCCGTTCCTTCCCACATCAACCTGGGCATGGAAAGGTCTTGACCTTTCTGTAAAATAATCTACTGAGCTCTGCAGTTAGGGGGTGGGGTGGGGACAGAAGGCAGGGCCTCAGATATGGGAAGAACATGCTCTACCACTCAGCCACATCCCCAGTCTAATCTTTGCTGGGGTTCGTCTAATTCTTCAGAATTACAAAATCCATTATTTTTAAGTCATTTATAATTTTTTTGTTAAAAAATATTTTTGAGCTGGGTAGAGAGATAGCACAGCGGTAGGGCGTTTGCCTTGCACGCAGCCAACATGGCTGACCTGAGTTCGATTCCTCCGCCCCTCTCGGAGAGCCCGGCAAGCTACCGAGAGTATCTCGCCCGCACGGCAGAGCCTGGCAAGCTACCCATTATGTATTCGAGATGCCAGACACAGTAACAATGAAGTCTCCAATGGAGATGCTACTGGGTCCGCTCGAGCAAATTGATGAACAACGGGAGGACAGTGACAGTGACAGTGAGCTGGGTAATACAGCGGTGAAGGCACATACCTTACATAGAGCTGACCTGGATTCAATCCCCTGACATTGCCTATGGTCTCCCTAGCACCACCAGGAGTAAGTCCTAAGCTCTGTTGGATGTAGCCCACAATTCCCCAATATTATTTTAAAATTAGTTTTAACTTGGGGGTGACACACCCATGGTGCTTGGGGGTTACTCTTGACTCATTGCTCAGGGTCAGTCCCAGTGATGATCAGGGAAGCACATGGTGCTGGGATCAAATCCTGACTCCTTCTTGCCAAGCCTGTGCTCAGCCTGTGCTCAGCCTGAGTTCACTCTCCTGCCTGAAAAATTGTGATTCAAAAATAAAGTAACACTGTTGGATAAAGAAAGCTTCTAAGTGGTAAATAATAGTGAGTGTAAAGAACTGTTCCTTCTGTTGCATCCCAAATTACACTTCATAAGATCTGGGTTTTTTTCTTTTTGGGTCACACCCAGTGATGCTCAGGGGTTACTCCTGGCTCTGCACTCAGGAATTACTCCTAGCGGTGCTGGGGGGACCATATGGGATGCCGGGGATTGAACCCAGGTTGGCCGTGTGCAAGGCAAATGTCCTATCTACTGTACTATTGCTCCGGTCCCGAGATCATATTATTTTTATAACCCAAAACTTCAAGCCTTGCACTTTAAAACTGTTTTTTTTAATTGTGCAAAAATACACATAAAATCTATCATCCTAGTTTTTTTTTTGCTAGAGATCTAACTAGGTCTCATGCTGCAAGGCATGTCCTTTAACTCTGAGCCACATCCCTGGTGCCTTAACCATTTAAAATGTACAGTTTGTGGCCAGAGAAATTGTACAGTGGGTAGGGTGTTTGCCCTGCATCCACGATCCTAGGTATTCCATATGGTTCCTCCACGCCCGCCAGGAGTAATCCCTAAACACAGAGCCAGGAGTAAACCCTGAAAAGTACCAGTGGAGCCCAAAAGAAAACAAACAAATTACAGTTCAGGGCTGCAGAGAGAGTTCCGTGGCTAAGGTGTTTCCCTCGCATACTGCTAACTCTAGGTTCAATCCTTGACACCACATATGGTGCCCTGAGTTCTGCTAGGAGTGGTCCCTGGGGTTCTAAGCACCATCAAGTGTGGCCCAAAAGCCCAGAAATGTCTTCTTCTTAAGGATGAATACGTATTCCATTATATTTATGCACCACATAAATTCCACCAGGACAGGTGGCTGGCTTTTGGCTACTGTGAATGACGCTGGGAAACATGGGTCTATGAATAAAAGGTAAAGGTAAAGGCCCTCCCGTTGATCGTCGATTTGCTCGAGCGGGCCCAGTAACGTCTCCATTGGAGACTTTGTTGTTACTGTGTCTGGCATATCGAATACTCTCGGTAGCTTGCCGGGCTCTCCGAGAGGGGCGGAGGAATCGAACTCGGGTCGGCCATGTTGGCCGCTTGTAAGGCGAACGCCCTACCCGCTGTGCTATCGCTCCAACTATGAATACTGGAGGAAAACCCTCTTCTGAAGGCGTACCAGGAGTAGGATTCCTGGGTCACAAGGTGATTCTGTGCGTTTTCTGTTGTTGTTGTTTGGGGGTCACACCTGGGGGTGCTCAGGGTTCACTCCTAGCTTTGCACTGAGGGATCACTCTTGGCAGGCTTGCAGAACTGTATAGGGTGCTGAGAGATGAAACCCAGGTCAGCAGAATGCAAGGCAAGTGCCCTCCCCATTGTACTATTTCTCCAGTCTCACTTATGCTTAAGGCTTTGGAGAACTACCATACTGATTTCCATAGTGGCTGCACTGTTTTATGTTCCTACCAATAAAGTATAAAGTTCTAAGTTCTCCACATCCTATCACTTTTTTTGTTTTTTGGTTTTTTTTCTTTTTGGGTCACACCCTGTGATGCACAGGGGTTACTCCTGGCTCATGCACTCAGAAATTACTCCTGGCAGTGCTCGGGGGACTATATGGGATACTGGGAATCGAACCTGGGTCGGCCGTGTGCAAGGCAAACGCCCTACTCCAGCACCATGTTTTGTTGTTTTGACAGTAGTAATCCTGGCAGATGTGAGGGAACTGTCTCTGTGTTTGGGAGTGGCAATTTCCTAATGACATCTTTTCATGTTTGTTGGTTTACAGCTTCTTTTAAACACAACAAATGCTACTTTACATTTTAGCAATAAACTCCCACTCCGCAATGTCTGCTCCGGGAAAGAGTCTCTTCCCAACCTGAGAAGCTGGTGGGCTGAGGAAGGTGACAAGCCTTCAGGTCCACTGAAAACTGGAGCCCCCCCAGACAGTGGGTGGTGACAGAAATAAAGGGAATGTCAAGCTCGCCCCCTGGTGATAAACCGAGGAGATAGAGGAAAAGCTTAAGAAAAGGAAGAACATGATCTCCAGTCCTACCCAGAGTCTGGAGAGCACACCAGCCACACAGATTACTAATCAATCAAAATAGTTTATTTGCAGGGCAGGTAAAAAGGTCCAGTTCTGAGGAGCAAAACCTGTCACAGAGCCCTTGCTTGTAGAGCCAGGGGAGTGGTCAGTGGGTGCTTATTTTTAACTGGATATTTCCACCCCAAGGCTTATATGCTGCGTGTTCTCGAGCAGCCCTGGAGCTCGGGGACCTTTCATTTTACGTCTGACGGTCTTCTTGATGGGCTCTACGACTGAACGAGAACAGCTGACTCCAAAGGCACAGGGAAAGCCCACACCAAGGATTATATAAGTCAGAGGGTGGCAGTCGTGACTAGTTAAATGTTCTTAGCAACTTAAATCCTCTATTACGTAAGTCAAGATACTCTGACTTCCAAGCCCTCCTAAGTACAGTGACGATGATGATGGTGGTGGTGGCGGCGGTGGGGTCCTTAGAGCTGTTCGTTTTCCAGGCTCCTGCTCCCTGTCCCCCTTGACCCACACTCTCATGGCTCTGTCATTTCCTGTTCTGCTCAGAACTGGAAAGAGTTTAAAAACTACGACCCACTAAACATGGGTGTCTTCACAGAACACACCAGATCAAGAAGTATTGACGGACATAAATATTTCAGCCTACATCCCAGGAGTCGCAGCCCTCCCTCTGGGACAATAGGTCTATGTCACCTGAGCTCCGAGTCCCAAATCCACAGCAGCACATTAACTTCAAGGTCAGAAACTGGGGTTCAGGGCACAGGCGGGAAAGCACACTACCCAAACTTGATGGGCGGGACGCTTTTCTGCTGCTCTTTGTGCAGCTTCTGGGCCCGATTTTTCAGCTCCTCGGCCTTGGCTTCGTCCTTCTGGATGCCATCCCCGAGCCGGTACATGCGGCTGGCATTGGCACAGGCCCAAATGTGGCCCAGGTCACAGGCTTTCACAGAGTACTGACATGCCCGGCCCATGTCTTTGGGAACGTCAGGGGAACCCTGCAGGAACATGGTGCTGAGGTTGAAGCAGCTGGAGGCATAGTTGCCGTCACAGGCCCTGGTGTAGTAGTCCCTGGCCTTCCTCAGATCGGGCTGGCCACCTTCATTGACCTGTCCATCGTGCGCCAGGAGACCCACGTTGTGACATGACTCCACAGACTTCTTGCCGGGACTCTCGCAGGCCATCAGAAAGCAACTAGAGGCAGCTTTCAGGTCCTGGGGCAGGCCCCCTGGGAGCAAGGGAAGAAAAAAGTGAACTTACATTCTTAGAGATCCACACCCTCCCTCAAGAGAACTACTGTACTTCACAAGAAAAATAGAAATTGTATGCTGGAACTCAATCACGAATAACTTTGCAAATCACGTGCCTTAAAAAAACAATAACCACCACCAATACCAATCATTTAAAATAAACAGAAACAAGAGAAAGGAAACTAAGAGCATGCCTGGCCTGCTGCCACCATGTCAACGAAGGCCCAGGACTGAGAGTGGCTCTCTGCTGCTCCCTTTGCCACCCTCCAGTGTCCTTTCTGAATGGAGAGACGCTGACCAGTCTGTGTCAAGAAAGCACATGAACTGGGTATGCAGGATATAGTGGAAAAAACCCCAAATACGGGGAAATCCTTTGACGCCTACCTGGACAGGAGAAACAAGTGTTGGCTTTCAACAAGGGAGGGAACATGGTCCATTAAACAGCGATTCAAGGGGCAGGGGTGACAGTACAGAGCATAGGGTATTATCTTGCATGCAGCCAACCCTGGCATTCCATATGGCCCCCAAGCCCACCAGGAATAATAACCCCTGAGCAGCATTAGGTGTGGCCCCAAAACCACACCAAAACAGCAATTCTGAATGAGCTCGGCAGCAGAGACAAGCTAACAGGGATTGTCTATGAGTACTTTGATGTAAACTAAAGACTTGGTTTTTGGGGGTCACATACAGTGGTGCTCAGAGGTTATTCCTGGCTCTGCACTCAGGAATTACTCCTGGTATTGCTTGCTTGGGGGGACCATATGGGATGCCAGGGATCGAACCCAGGTTGTCTGCATTCAAGGCAAATGGCCTTACTCACTGTACTATTGCTCCAGCCCCTGAAGACATTTGTTGAAGAGCTTTGGCTCAGTGGCTAATAAATCTCCCTTGCAAGTGTGAGACCAAGAGTTCAATCCCTGGTGCTGCCCACATGTGCCAACAGGATGTGCAATCTCCAGCACAGTCAGGTGTACACTAACCCAGAGCCAAAGTGTGCAGCCCCCAGAGAACAATTACGATTGTGAGGTTGGCGTATCCTGACCAGGCCTGTGCCCACCAATGAGCCACACAAGTCAGTGAATGAGATCCCTGCAAGCTCAAGTGTGCAAGCCGTGCAACAGGCAAACACCACAGACAAGCGTGCGGGGCTCCCTCCCCTCTCCTCACTGGAACAAAGGGCAGGGAAGTGGGTAAGGACGGTCCAGTTAAGAGTATTGCTGGTTGGGGCTGGAGCAATAGCACAGTGGGTAGGGTATTTGCCTTGCACATGGCCAACCCGGGTTCGATTCCCAGAATCCTATATGGTCCCCCGAGCACTGCCAGGAGTAACCCCTGAGCATCACTGGATGTGACCCAAAAGCAAAAAAAAAAAAAAGAGCATTGCTGGTATTATCTGAGTACTGTCATCTAAAGGCTGTGCATTCTGTTTGTGGCTCACCATCTCTCGATCTGAAACACAGTTCTTTCCACCTCAGTCAAATACAATCTGCGGTTCCCTTCAAGGCCGTGTCAAAGCTTTCTCCTCTACAATAGTCACCCTGACTGGTCAGACTCCCAGTAGCGGGCCCCACGTTACTTGCCTCTGCCCAAAAGATCCATATCAAGCTCTGCCAGGAGAAATAAACAGATTTCTTCCCCTCACGGTCCAGAGCCAATCCTTTGCTCCACTGAAGCTATTCGATACTGGAAATCTGTTCACCAAAGGAGCACTCAGAGGGCAAGGGCGCACGCTCTCGAGAGGGAGACCTGGAGCAACTCCTGAGAACAGTGCCACAAGCAGCCCGAGCACTGCTGGGTGTGGCCCAAACCCCCGAGCAACAAGAACCAAACGCGAGTGACGCAAAAAGAGAAAGAGAGAAAAGACTTGATGCACAATCATTAATCACACAAATGAGTATAATATGAGACAAAAGGGAATTTCAAAGCCTCTTTTCCTCCTTAATTCAACACAGAACTCAAAAACCCTTGTGGATAACAAAGTAAAATATGGCTATAAGACAAAGGAAGACAAAAGTTTTCCAAGACACAAACTCAGAGACAATAAGGATATTTGGAGTTTCGTGCACTTTTACATAGCTCAGCCCACACCATATAATTTCGTATTTTTTTTTTACTAAACATTATAAAATTTTCCCTATAATCATAGATTTTTTAAAATTAGAGCTTTTTATTTTTTTGTTGTTGTTGTTTTTTGGTGGGAGGGAGAGTTTGGGCCACACAGAGGTGCTCAAGGCTTTCTCCTGAATCTACACTCTGAGGTCTCCTGATGGTGCTCATGGGACCATATGGGTGTTTGCCTTGCACACACCTGACCCAGGTACAATCCCCAGCATCCCATATGGTCTCCTGAGCACTACCAGGACTAATTCCTGAGCTCAGAGCGGGGAGTAAGCCCTAAGCATAGCCAGGTGTAACCACCGGCTACATTTCCAAACCCCGCCACCTCCCAAAACAAAAGATCTTAGTGCAATAAGCTGGGCTGTGTTGTCTGAAGGCTCTACTGGGGCTGGAGTCTGCAGCTTCAGAGGGACTCACTCTTCGCCTCAGTCATTCTATTTCCAACCAGGGCATGGGGTTACATCACTGGTCCTGTCCTCTGTGCCAGGCACATGTGGATGACCTCACCTACTAGACAGGATGAAACAGCCGACTTCCCTGACCCCGAGAAGCAAGTGCTGGTTTGTGTCCATTTCACAGGTGCTAAGAGTGAGGCGCAGTGGCCGGCCGCCTCACAAACAGCACACCCCGCATTAGCAGTGAGCCTGAAAGACCACGGCTTCCTCCCAACACGCAACTCGCGCCCAATTCTTCCTGCACACCAGGTGGTCGGTCTTGGGGACCTGAGCGGGCCCTTTGCAAAGGGAGGCCGGCGTGCAGTTTGGGAGCTGCCGTGTCATGGACCAAAGCTCTCAGTGACAAGGATCAAAGCCACGCAGGTCCCTCCTTACCTTTTCCAGTCACATAATAGCCCCCCAACTTGTAGCAGCTATCGCCGTGCTTGTTCTTTTCACAGTTGAACTTCAGCACCTTGGCGGCCTCCTCAAAGTTCTTCTGGATTCCTTCCAGGTAGTCCACCAATCGGTAGCAACCTGTGAGGAGAGGCCACAGCAGCTCAGGTCTGGGGCAGCTGCTCCTTTGCCAAGGCCCAGGTGTGGCAGGACACGCCAAGCAGCAGCCACTGTCTTCCTAAGGCGTGGCGGGTGACCCGACCACAAAGAATGCTGGGGATCTTCCCACACACACCAGTGTCTGAGCACTGCGGACCTACAAACGCTGGTGTCTGAGCCCCTGGCCCTCACCTCACCACTCGCCAGCCCTTCTACGACCCTGACAGCGAGGCCGAAGACTCACTGACTTCCAGAGGGGAACTCTGTGAGCTTTGGCTCCCACCAGCAAGTTCAGCAGTCAGATGCTGGGAGGCAGAAGGTCCAGAGGCTCCTCTTTCAGCATCTAGAAGGGGGAGCTGGGCTCACTTCATCTTACTCCTCTACTGGTGAGGCCAGGAACATGAAGCCTGATGAAGTCGAAATGGCAGCTACCGGGGCTGGAGCGATAGGACAGGGGACAGGGCATTTGCCTAGCACGTGGCCGACCCCGGTTCCATCCCCAGCATCCCACATGGTCCCCAAGCACTACCAGGAGTAATTCCTGAGTGCAAGGCCAGGAGTAACTCCTGAGCAGCACTGGGTGTGGCCCCAAAAAGCCAAAAAAAGGAAAAGAAAAGCAAAAGGAAATGGCAGCTACCAATTGAGTTAGAAACTTCGGAATAGACTCTCTCGTAGGTAGTCATTAGTCCCAGGGATTCTCTCTTGTCGTTTCTTCATCTGCAAACACCTCTTTCTTGTTTTTCTTTAACATAAGTTTGAGCAACTATATACATCCGTGTAGATTCTAGGAGTACTGTCACTTGCCCTCCTAAAAATTATAGTCTAGGGGGCTGGAGCGATAGCACAGCGGGTAGGGTGTTTGCCTTGCACGCGGCCGATCAGAGTTCGATTCCCAGAATCCCATATGGTCCCCTGAACACCGCCAGGAGTAATTCCTGAGTGAAGAGCTAGTAGTAACCCCTGTGCATCGCTGGGTGTGATCCAAAAAGCAAAAATGAAAGAAAAGAAAAAATAGATATAAATTATCCTAGAGGACAAAGCACAGCAAGTAAATAAGTAAACAAGATGTACTCAAACAGTAAGGATGTGACTGAAATAAAGCACTATAAAGAAAGTCTGTTGGGGCTGGAGTGATAGCACAGCGGGTAGGGCGTTTGCCTTGCACGCGGCTGACCCGGGTTCGATTCCCAGCATCCCATATGGTCCCCCAAGCACGGCCAGGAGTAATTCCTGAGTGCATGAACCAGGAGTAAACCCTGTGCATCGTTGGGTGTGATCAAAAAGCAAAAAAAAAAAAAAAGTCTGTTGTGGGGACAGAGAGATAGTAAAGAGGTTAAAGTACTTGCCTTGCACATAACAGACAAGTTTGATCCCCAGCACTTCCAAGAGTGAGCCCTGAGCACAAAACCAGGAGTAAGCCCTGAGCACTGCTGAGTGTAGTTCAGAAATAAGCACACAAATTCTGTTGTGGAGCCAGAGGAAAGGCTCAAAGGGCCGAGTATGGTCTTTGCATGCACAAGGCCTAGGTTCTATCCCCGGCACTCCACAGTCCATTGAGAGAACTACTGGGCGCAACTGTGAGCACAGCACCAGACAATCACACTCCCCCACACACCCCGCCCAAGTCTGCCTGCACTGGGGGAATGACGGATGACAACTCTGAAGTCTAAGCTGACAAGGAGAACGGAAGAAATGGGAAGGGGACAGAAAGTAAATAAAAAATTCCCAAGAAGGAAAGAAACAGCTTGCCAGAGGAAGAAAGGGGAGGAGGCAAGAGGAAGGCAGGGAAGAGATGACAGGCCCTGAGAATGGAGGAAGGGCTTAGGATTTCTTCCCAAGTCAAACCACTGAGGGTTTTAGAAGGAAAGTAGTGTGACCCAATTTTCCTTTTTGTTGTTGGGCAGCACCACGTGGTGTTGAGGGCTTCCTCCTGAGGGGCTTGTGGGACCAAATGCAGGAAATCAAGCCCAGGCCAGCCGTGTGCAAGGCAAGCACCATTCCCACTGTACTCTCCCTCCAGTCCCAATTCTTATTTTAAAAAGCAGACAAGCTTGTACATGCTAAGATGAATACGGAGGACTTACAGGTGTGTAGGACATGGTTCAGCACTGATAAAAATAACCGTGCTGCGGGGTGGGAAATAATTCAGCTGCCCCGCAGACTCCCCACATGGTGAGACCTGACTTCGATCCCTGGCACCAGTGGTTGCTTTTATAAAACTAAATAACTAAATAAAACCTAACAGTGCAACAAAGTTGAAATAGCAGTTGGTGATTTCATGTAAGGGAGCAAGCTGCAGGCAGGCTAGACTGCTTTTCTTGGGTGGGGGGGCACTCGGGGCAATGCACAGGGGTTGCTCCTGGCTCTGCGCTCAGGGGTCATTCCCGGAGGTGCTGGGGGACCATCTGGAATGCCGGAAATCGAACCCTACCCTTTGCACACTCGCTCCGGGCTCCCCCTCCCGCCACCTGCCTGGCACAGACCTCCCCTACCTTCCGAGACTTTGTTTAAATGCCACTTTTCATTGATTCTCCCCGACTCTCAACCGAAACCTGCCCTCCGACGTTCCGACACCCTCCAGCCAGTCCTTCCCCCACGCACCTACTTTCTCACACACGACTTCCCTCCCCCCTGGACGCGGACCGTGTCCCACTGCCCCACTAGAACTCGGGCTACGCGAGGACAGGGAGTGGGACCTGTTCACGGGTGGACCCCGCGAGCCCAAATGCCCTTCCTGCCGCCCGGCGAATCTCGCGGACCCCGACCCGCCCCTCCCGAGGCTCCCGAGTCCCACTGCCGGATCCCGCGTGTCCCCGGCCCGCGACCCTCCGCAGGCTCCGCCCAGTGACCGCCCACGTGTCCCGTCCTCCCGCACCCCCCGCCCAGGATCCCCACGTGTTCCCAGGCCGCGCCAGCGCGCCCACCGTCTGGGTCGTTCTCGCGGTAGCACTGGTAGTTGCACTCCACCTCCATGTTCTCCAAAAAGGCCTTCACTTGCTCCTCGTCCTGAAAGTCCACCAAGCCCGCCATGACCCCTGCTGGCCAAGCTGAGGTGACCCCGCCGCGCTGTTCCGGAGGCCCCGCCCCTCGCCCGCGGTCACGTGAGCCGGCGGGGCGGGCCTGCTGAGTGCCGAGGGGCGGGGCCCGGTCGGGGGCGGGGCCTGCGACAGGGCGGGATGCGGGAGAGGCGGGGCCTCCTCGGGGACGGGGCATGAGGGGGCGGGGCCGAGAGAGGCGGGACGCGGGATTCCCGGGTCTATAGCAGAGCCCAACCAGAGAACTTAGCACCCGCTGTCTCCACGTTAAAATTTTTGGCCTTCATATTTCACTTTTTCTTCTTCCTTTTGTTTTTTTTGTTTATTTTAGGGGTCACACTGAGCGGTGCTCAGGGTTTACTTCTGGCTCTGCACTTAGGGATCACTCCTGACAGTATTCGGTAGGGACCATGTGGGATGCTGGGGATCAAACCCAGGTCAGCCACGCCACATGCAGGGCAAGAGCCCTACCCGCTGTACTGTGACTCTGGCCAAGGAGTTCATATTTCTTCCTCTTCCCATTGCAGTCCTGTAGGATAATATTGGTTTACCCCTCCTCCATGACCACTGGGAGCTTGTGTTTGTTGATTGCTCCCCAATCTGTCAATTATCTTTGTCTCCTGATCAGACTCTGACTTGTAAATATTGTCTTTCTCTTCTCCTTACTGTCCTTGGCATGGTTAGCTATTTCAGAGCAATTGCTTTTTGTATGGATACAGGAAGACAGTTAAAAAGACAAGCCTGGGGCTGGAGCAATAGCACAGCAGGTAGGGCAGGGCATTTGCCTTGCACGCAGCCGACCCAGGTTCGATTCCCAGCATCCCATATGGTCCCCTGAGCACCGCTAGGAGTAATTCCTGAGTGCATGAACCAGGAGTAACCCCTGTGCATCACTGGGTGTGACCCAAAATGAAAAAAAAAAAAAAGACAAGCCTAGGGTTTGGGAGTTGATTAACTCCAGATAATATTACCTCCTGGACATCTGCTCTCTCAAGTTAAGCCTCAGTTGCCCTTACTTCCTAGATCCCCAAAAGGCAGGGTCCCGACAAGGGACTGGATGGACCTACGGGAAGTGGTGAGCTAGCTACCTTGGCATCGAAATGGGCCTGGCCAAAGTGCCACAATGCTTAACTATAAGTAAAAAACATGGTCATGGACAAATTCTGTCACGATCCAAAAAGTTATAACTCGATTTGGACCCTGCTGGGATTAGGAATGACTGATCCCGCTTGAGCACTGTAGTCATAGTCTGGAGATGTCCCTAAGAGAGACACCCTACAAGCCTAAAAGTGTCTATTACTATGTCCATACAGAATGGTAAATATTAGGAAGAAGAATTAAAGATGTTAATCATGTTGCAGGTCTAAGAAGAGGAGAAACACACCTTGGGGATTGTTTTGCTCTCTTGGGCTGCGGGTGGTCAGGAAGACTGGAAAAAACATTTTGATTTTCCCCTGGGGAGGCTTGGTGAGAAAGGAAAAAGAGCGGTTGGCGGAGGAAGGAGGAAAAAGAGTGAGAGAGACGGTGACAGAAGGACAAGTAGGTAGGAGGAGTCAGGCGGAAGGTTGAGACGGAGAGAGAAACAGGAGGACAGAAGTTTGCGGGAGACACAGGGTTAGAGGAGAAGGTTTCGGAGAGCTGGGAGTGACAAGAGATTGAATGAACAGCAACCTAATCAGAACCAGCTTGGCCCTTGTTCTTCCTTCAACAGCCTTCTCTGGTGGGGAAGCGGCTTGAGAGACCCAGGCGGCGAGAGAGCTGCCCCAAGAGCCAGCGAACATCCTTTCTTTTATGTGTAATCCCCCCTCTCTCGCCTGGGCGAAAGGAGAGTATGCAGCTCCGCCCGGGCAGGCCAGGGGGCAAAAAAGAAATTATACACATTCCTAAAACTGACAGCTGTCATTCCATAGCATCTCATCTATGACAGCTTTCTGTCTGCGGTCATTTATCTGTCTGTAGTCACACTGTGTGTGCCCCTGTAAAAGTGCTTAGTATTTAGTTAGACAGTGGCTCTAAGAAGCATTGTCGGGCCAGAGCGATAGCACAGCGGGTAGGGCATTTACCTTGCATGCGGCCGACCTGGGTTCAATCCCCGGCATCCCATATAGTCCCCCAAGCACTTCCAGGAGTAATTCCTGAGCGCAGAGCCAGGAATAACCCCTGAGCATCGCTGGGTGTGACCCAAAAAGCATAAATAAATAAATAAATAAATAAAGCATTGTCCAGGCTTTAAAAAGCTTTCAGAGGTAGGACATTTGCCTTGCATGCAGCTGAGCGGGGTTCAATCACTGGCACCACATATGATTCCCTGAGCCTGACCAGACTGATCCCTGAACACAGAGCAAGGAGTAAGGTCTGAGTACCGCTGGATGTAGCCCCAATCCCCAAACTAACAAAATATACACAAAATAAAAAACTTTCAGCTCAGTAGGAAGATATATGTGTAATCATTTGGCAAGCATTTTGAGTACCTACTATGTGCCAGGTGTCACTGGACACACCAATACTCTTTTGTTTTGTATCACACCCAGCAGTGATACGAGTTTACTCCTGGCTCTGCACTCAGAAATTACTCCTGTGGTGTTTGGGGGGACCCTATGCGATGCTGGGAATCGAGCCTAGTTGCCCAAGAGCAAGGCAAGAAAATACCTGCTGTACTATGGCTCTAATCCCAAATGAGCACTCTTTAAGTCTGTATAGGGGTGTGAGAAGTTTGTTTATGTTCCTCTTAGAACCACTCTCTACCCCAACATGAATAATGTGAAGAATGAATGATAAGGAAAGAATGAAGACAGTGACTGGAACACAGTGGCTGAGGAAATGATAGTAGTAATACTGTTACAAAAGCTAATAATGAAATAGCACTGAACTTTGTTCCAGATCTAAGAGCTTCACACAGTTTCATTTGATTCTGGCTGTGATTCTCACAGTGACACTACGGGATAATTATTATTATCCCCATCCTGTAAACATGTCAACTGAGGTGCAGAGAGATTATATAACTAGTTTAAGGTGACATAGGGAGAGGCAGTTGTGCAGTGAATGCTTTTTTGCTTAAAACCATGAATGGAATATAAGGGGAAATGTGCCAAGGTGATTAAAAAGAGGAAAAGAACTTTTGCTTTGTTTTTCTCCTGCTCAGAATCATCAGTTCTAGAGTAAGCTCTCGAAAGACAATCGGTTCCTATTCATATTTTTTTGTTTTATTTTGGTTTTAGGTAACACCTGGCAGTGCTCAGGGGTCTTCCTGGATCTGTACTCAGGAGTGTTCCCTTCTGGTGCTCTGGGACCATTTGAATTGGTGTCTGGCATTTGATCAGGGTTTTTGATTCATCTGCAAAGACCTTATCCCCTGTACTATTGGTATATTGGAACTACCTCTCTGGCCCTCCTATAGGTATACCATTCAGTTCCATGGTATACCTATTCTAGGATTACACAATTGCCTTTTCTCAAACCTTTGAGTAAAATGGGCTTTTCAGGTAGTTTACCTGTGACTTCTCAGCTGCCTCATTGCCTTCGGAAATTCCTTTGGACATGTGCCACAGGAGGGATACCTTAAATTTCTTTCTCTCGTTTAAGTAAATTTGAAATGTTTGGGGATAAAGCATTTGCCTTGCACACAGCTGACCCAGGTTTGATCCCCAGCATCCCAGATGGTCCCCTGAAGGCCTCCAGGAGTAATTCCTGAGTGCAGAGCCAAAGAGACCCCTGAGCATCACTGGGTGTGGCCCAAAGCACAACAGCAATAAAATTTTTAATGATTTTAGGATTGAACGTAGGCCCTCATATTGACCTTTAATTTTTTGAGTGGAGACTCCCAAGCAGTGCTCAGGAAGCCCTGTAATAACCAGCTAACTGGGCCACACAGCTCAATTCTCAGATCCAGCAATTTGATGCTATTTCTGTTACCAGGGAAACCCCAGCAATGCTTGGGACCTCTGGGACTACATAGGAAGTGCTTGAGGGCCACGCTGTTCAAGATCTTTCAGGGTGTTCTAGCCCTTTCCGCTATTTCGGATCTTTTTATCTTTCCTCAGTCTGCCTTCAAGGACTTGCACAATCGCATTCTCTCCTCGTCTCTTCTCCCACCCCGCACTAACCTTTGGTTCTCTGCATAGGTTCCAGATTTATGTCACTCTTGCCCTTGACCACCACTCTTTGTTCAGTTCATAGATCCTCTCCTCTATAAAATCTTCATAATAATCCTATAATCAGATGGGCTGGTCACGTAATGAGATTTAAAGATGACCGCTGGACTAGAGCTGTTACCGACTGGATTCTACGGGATGTCAAAAGACCGCGTGGCCGCCCACCTACCAGATGGTCAGACTTCTTCATCAAGATCATGAACGATCGGTTTGAGGCTCTTCGTGTTCCCAGAGCGAACAGACGCCATTGGGCTACACTAGCACGCGACAAGGACAAATGGAGACGTTACTGGCGCCCGCTCGAGCAAATCAACGACTAACGGGAAGTTAAGTGATTAAGTGATGAATAATCCTACACCTCCATAATAGATGTAGATGATACGTTGTTCAGAATTCCACACCATTTGGTTTATTCTGGTGAAATGCAACAGGGAAGGACTGATTTTGGAAAGCAGATGGTGTAAGTCACAATTTGTACTCCCCTCCATACCCTCCACCTCATAGATCTGTGGTACATTCCTTATGTGCATGAGGCCCTGAATTTGATCCCCATCAGTGTCTGCCATCCCACCCCTCATCAGAACTGTTTGATGTAGGCCCCTGGGTGTGAAATATCTCTGGGCTTTATGAGTTGTCCTGAGAGGCAGGAGGAGGAGGAGGAGGAGGAGGAGGAGGAGGAGGAGGAGGAGGAAGAGGAGGAAAAGGAGGAAAAGGAGGAGGAAGAAGAGGAAGAGGAAGAGGAGGAGGAGGAGGAGGAGGAGGAGGAAGAAGAAGAAGAAGAAGAAGAAGAAGAAGAAGAAGAAGAAGAAGAAGAAGAAGAAGAAGAAAAAGAAAAAGAAGAAGAATCTGTGTCCCAGCCTTAGTACATTGTGAGCTCAAACAAATGATATTTGTG